GTAGCGACTGAAACATGAGGCGGCCTGGTGCAGCACATTCAGTTGCCTGAGAACATCATAAACGAGAGATTCAGCTGGGTTCAATGTGAGTCTCTCGAAAGAACCAAATTAGTTTGTAGATGAGTGTATATTCGTTAAAAGAGTCAAGTTCGGGCAATAAGCCATGATTTTTTCAACTACATGACCAATGACTTACCACAGAATACAAAGATGGTCACAAGGTGCCCAAACATAGGATACGGCAGACGTTGATAACGAGAGAACGTTCAATTCAGTAAACCTAAAATCGATGCGACCGAGCACGTCTGGAACCTGAATAACGGGAGAAATGGGAAAGCAGAACACTTAGCGGGCCATGTATAGTTGACCACAGGTAAGACGCTGTGAAACGGGTGATCGGTTCACCGGAAGCACAGTTAACATCTGAAAGTATGTTAGAAAATTTGGAGTGGTGCATCATTCGTCCCCATTAGAAGGAGCAGACTCTTAGCATGGTCGGTTCCACTCATTTCTACGAAATCTATCATTACACATATAGTTCAAAGCATTCTCACCCGTCAGTGAAAAGAAAGCCCAACTCAAGCATGTGTATGTCAAAAAAGAAACATGAGGCGTCTAACGTAAAATGATGACTGCTGTGTGGCTAAGTATTGTGGGAGGGGGTAGAGCCTTAGCGTACAGAAAATATACATGTAACAAGTGTTGATCACGCGGCTTCTGTGACATCCTCAGCGACATTCATCGTTAGGACGATAAGGTTTACTCACTCCGCTACCTCTGATCCTCTTCTACACCATCTTTTCTATTTTTGAGCTTCGATCGGACGGGAACTGTGAGGCAGAAATCTCTTAATGAAACCTTGCTTCCCTCCCTAGCGATGTACACTGTCTCCGAAACACGCATGCAAGATACCACTTCGCTTGTGTACCTCAGATCACTTAGAACGAACCGAGATGTTCCACATTTCACTCTTCAGGTATCTGGTGAGCCTGACACAATAGCTCATGGAATCTCCGATGCAGGAGTTGCACTCAACCCCACGGCTGAAGGCGCTTTGCGGGACTGGATCCCAATACACAGTCGTCTTAGAGCTGCACATTTGTCTATATCGATCAAGATTAAAGCAGGTCGATGCGGTAAGCGATGATCATTTATCGTATCAGCAGTTCTGAATCTGAGGACGCGTTTTAGGGTGATCTGTCGCAAATGCTTCGGCAAGAAAGACGGATACAGTCATCCTGGCGGTTGACATGAGCGTCCAGTTTGGACGACTAGTACTGGAAGAACAACTAGCACTGACTTCTAATCCGTTACCGATGGAGAGCCTCAATTAAACACTGTCGTTCCTTGGGTACGCAACACTACTCCAATCAGGCCATTGTGTAAGCTGGGCTGTCACTTCAATTTCCGTCAGCATTACGCATGCCGAAGCAGGGAATCTCCGTACGTTAACTTTGACGAGCTTCAGTAGCTCAATATATCGAGCTGATCTGACCAGAAAGCTACAGTAAACATACGGTCATGTGAATGACGATTGGTTGGAGGTTGAATGGAGATGAGCTAGAGAAGCTGTGCTCTGAGCTTTTAGAAGAGTAGAAGACATCTGACTTGACAAAATGCATGCTGGATATCGTCAAGATCGGCAGATCTTATTGCGATCAGAAAGGCCATAACAGCAGCTGTACGCTGGCATATGCATATCCCTCAAACACTTTTTAATCAAGAACTTGAAGAATGATAAAAGAACGCTGGTGGATTGTGAAGGCCCGGGACAAGGAGAAGACTTTCACTGCAGACAACTGTCGCGCCCCAGTTCAGATGATTCGATCAACCGTTCAAAGTAAGACGGGTGCCAGCGAAACAATATGCGAATGATAATTCACTTGCAAGATCGTCGTCACAGCGTTGGGCTGAACACTGAAGAGCAGCTCAGTTCATCTTCTTCATCAAAACATCTGAGAGAACCTGAATGAAAAATTGACGTCCATTTTCAACAACAGAAATCCAGTGCGAAATGCCATCCTTCAAACGCGACAAGGCACCCAGGCCGGAAAGTCTGCTCCCCGCACTTTTAAATCTGGCAAATACCTGATCAGCAGTCTGACATCCTACTACGAACTGAAAGGATAACAGAATACCAGTGAAATGAAGCTCATCGACTGTGATTACAATCTTCAAAAACGACGTGACGATCTGGTAGTCGTGATATCCGGGATGGTGTACGGTAATATTTTGTGTAGGTTGATCGATTATCGGGAGAAAGTTATACTGGGTTCCATCCCGGCCATGTAAGCATCGGCCATATTTTTACGTTGACAAGTTCTTGAACAGTGTCACTCCTTCAAACATCCTGGTGCTTGGTTTTTTTCGTGACCTGAAAGTTATATTGAATCTCGCAATAGTCAGAAATGTTACATTCACATTGTATGCACATTGAGTGCCCTATATACAAATTCCTAGGGTGCGTACGAGTATATGTCAAGCCTTCGCCTGAGTTCACCCGTCCAGTGGTGCAAGACAAGGTTGGCTTCTCTCATCTTGCCTCTTCAATTTTGTTACTGATATGCCAATTGAAAGTTCTCTGCCTGATGTGCCGCTTGAAATTTCTCTGCCTGCCTTCGAAAAACCGGGAGTCGAAATGCTCCGTTCGCTCATAGACATTAAGTATGCGGACGATGTTCCTCTCCTTCAAATATGCAAAGCGATTCAAATAACCTAAATAAGTCTGCCACACGGTTTGGCATGCCCTTCACACCTGCAAAGTACCGCCACAAGACTGAGTGGGACCGAACCCAAACCTCACGCTTGCAGATGAGCCAATCAACGTGGCAGATGAATGTGCTGACCCGGGCAGCTGTATAATTTCCAGTGAACTGACTAGAGCTGAGACTATTTCTCGAATCAGAAAATCCGCAGCAGCTTTTTCCAACCGCCGATACTTATGACAATGGCGTCTATCAAGGAAACAGCAGACTGCGTCAGTGCAATTCATACCACTTACGGATGAGAAAAGTAGTCTCTACACGTAGAGGACACACGAAATCTGCCAGTGTTTGATAATCAGTGTCGCCGAAGCACCCGAAAGGTTTGGTAGGAACATCGCATAGGCAATGCTGAAGTACGCTAGATTGTTTTAGAAAAACAGATGTTACTCATGCCTCACAGTTGACGCTGGTTGGTACAGGCATTTCGGGGCCCGTCTGCCCCGATGCTCTTTTCGCCCTGCCCTGTGCTCAGGGCGACCAAAAGGTGAACAGTCTATGACCTGGCAACGAAGTATGAAAACACTAAGCGGCAAAATCAAATGAGTTGACAACTTATACCTCTCTGGATGGGGACCGCTGGACTCAGCTCCCCAATGGTTAACGACACAACTAGATATGGGTCAAACAAGCAGTTAATGGCACTCCTGCATCGAAAGGTAGCTGCCCAATGTGCAGTGACCATGCCACTGATTCCAATGCTTGGCTAGATCTCCAACGCTCACATTTTCGGGTGACCAAAACCCTAACAGCTTGAGCCAACGTATTCATTGAGTACAGCTGCAGAGAACTGACCGACTGACTACTCACTAAGCTGGAGTATCCAGGTCATTCTCCATACCACTATCTCAATTTTTAAAGAATAACTTATTCCCTTCTGTCCGTTTGCCGACCTGGTTCGATGCCCACATACTGGATTTGGCGTCTATGTGGCCCGAGTTCACCCTCAAAATGGTGACCAAACACTTGATGTTTATTGGCCACTAGGGCAACAACCTCCGAACTTAATGGGAACTGCCAAATTACCTGCAGGTCGGACCTGGCTGTCGAACTTTTCGTTCCCAACTATTCCAGAGTACACGGATTTGATCAGTTTGCTTGCTCGGCGAATACGGACGGAATTTATCGTGAACAAGACACTAAACTAGAGTATATCCTAACAAAATCAATCCGGACTGAAACGAGGACTTTAAACAAACCATCGACTTATTTTTTTTTACTACACACCGACTTAGCTAATCTATCTCCACAGTACGCAATAAACATATGCTAACAGGTCTTCGGTGAAGCCAGGAGTTCCGGAACCGCATTGATCGTCGCTTATGTGGGCGCTGTTGTCAAGATTACGCCGGGGTCTCTTAGCCATAATGATCTTCAGAACACTGAACAGATCAGACGTAGTTGGAATGGGACGGTACTTGCTTTGTTCGCTGAGCTGGGCAATTTGATTGCATACGTTTCATTACAAATCGAGGTGACACCATCAGTGCGTTGTTAGAAAGCGTAGTGGTGTGTAGCGATGGGTTGGCGGTTGCTCAGCTGAGTGAACAAACCAAAGACCATCTACGCTACCTGATCTAACATTTTCCTCTATAGGGACGGTACTTTTTCTGGTAGGAAAAGAAACCGTGTTTATGTATGTATACGTGAATTTTTCCAAGCCGGTAATACAACGATGATGGGCAAGGCTAAGTGGGTGAGGTAGACTACGACTACAACTAATTCCTTAAGGCAATTTTCGGACAAAAGAGGTGGGTCCTCATTTGGACGGGAAGACCTCAGCATCTCGAGAGGAAAATGAACGAGTGTGGAAAGGTGAGTAGGGGCAAGGCGATAAATTGGAGTAGTAGTTTATGGAAACATAATACAGTAAGAGGCGAAAGGTCAAACAAAGATTTCGGCTTTCCCCTGTGGTAAGGTGTCTACTTGAGAATCACGGATGGCAAGGAAGGTGGACTCCAGGTGGACCGATTTTCAACATTGTCATGCAGTTGATGGGTTCGATTACCGGCCCATTCAAACCCCATTCAGTGTTATGGAGATCACTATGGCTGAACGACCCCAGTGCAACCTTGATGGTACCGCCCACATACTGGACAATCAATAAGTTTCCGGATCTCATGGTTTACCGAAGACCTGTTAGCGTATGTTTTTTGGGCTAAGGGAACTTGCAAGCCGCGATGCCTCAAAAACTTCCTTGTTTGGGTCTACTGACAATGGACTATTACCGTTATATTTGGGATAGGGTTCCCTAATTTTACCTTGCACTGCTTGACCAGGATCGGCGAACCGTTTTGCGCCTCGTTGCCCTCCGTCCATTGATCGATTGCTTTCACTTTCTCACCTCCCTTCCTCTGGTCTACCGCAATCACCACGGTAAATGTTCGAAACTAGCCTCCTCTAAAATCAACCATCTTTTCACTACCTGCCAGCCACGTCAACTCCCAACCACGGTGCAGGTATGCTGTCTTCTGACAGCCCCAGAACCTCTAAGCTCTAGGATACTCTGATCTACTTCCTCCAGTTTCTAGAAACTGCGGTCGCTCAAGTCCATCGTTAATGTTTAGCTGCTCTAAGACACGCGTTTAGCCGTTCTCTTGCTGTTGCCCGGACGTGGTGGCCTGGCTTGCGTGTTTCACTGATTCTGGTGTCGTCGTTAGGGCTTTTTGTTGTTCGAAAAGGTAAGTGATTTGCAAAATTAGTGAGAGTGTGTAGGAAGGATGGATACCGATGCAGTTAAAAGCATTTTGCAACCAATTAAAAGTGGAAAAGTATTCCAATACATACAAAGTGAAAAACGCATAAAAAACCTCCAGCTGTAACACCTTTTCAACGCCTATCTGCCATACCACCCGAAGGAAGTACGGGTGCTGGAATACTGTTACAGGTTACCCTAGCCGAGAAAGAAGTCCAGATGCAGAGGCAGAGTTTGGGTTACGGACCGTCCAGTCAGTAAATTCGCGCTCTAACCACTGAGCCATCCCGCGTAGAAGCACAGCTACAAAGGATCATGGTGTTTCTTACAAGTGAACGGAAATCATAGTCTTGGAATTTCGAAGATTATAAGAAGATGGGGAAATAGAAAGTGAAGAAGATTTCCAAAGGTGAGCAGTCCCGTGGAAAATGAGGACGAACACAGTTCTGTCCGGCCGCGAGGTACTGAAACTTGAGACAGATGACTAGTGCAATAGAGATGAATACATCCACTGATCGATTGTCGGAGTGAGACAGAAGAGGAGAATTCGGAGGAGTGTTTATCGTGGCAGCAACAAAACAACAAAAGGTAGGTTATACCTAAGCGGTGAGTGTTCGAGGACTACTGGTCAATGGATGGAGGCGCGAAGGTGGTGTCAAAATATTGGTTGGCTACGAAATAGGGGTGAAAAATATGTGTTAAAAGAAGGATAACCAAAAACGTCTCAGAATGGGTTCGGGACTTTCACAATAGAATCTGAGAGTGAGGGAAATATTTATGAGAGTGAAAGGATAAATCATGGCATACCTGAAACGAATAACTTGTCGGGAAGTTTCCAAACCAGTCCATCCAGTCAGGATCAAGCTTGGCAATCAAGTCATCTTATCCTACTCCATAGGAAGTATTCAACATATCAAAGCATACCAGTTCGGTTTCACCAAACAAGTCTACAGCAGATGATCGCACCTGCGATATGTGCGCCCGTTCAGGGGTATAGCGACTGCACTTGAACTTATATTGGTGATCGCTCAGTAACTATTACAGATCGCGTGGTCATTCGGCCAAGAGTGACTCCGGAACCTCGAATAAAGTAGGGGCTATAGAGATGGGGTAGTAGTTCTTCAGATGAGATATGGACATATGGAAACAGCTATACATACTTCCTCTCTGTCCTCAGGTGACTGATCCAGCCGTAGAGCATATGGTTCCTCCAGTGGCTTACAGCAACGCTTTAGAAGCTTAATAGGGTGTTATACAAGGACAAACAGCTCAAATGAGCATTAGTTTCGTTCCGCTATCTTTATGCAGTACACTTTACAGATACACCTGGCTGGAGCTTCCCAACCAGATGAGACTACACTAGAAGAGAAGGATAGCACTGGAGCAAGTTCTGAAGCACTGATATGGAACAAAATGAGAACTATCATCCGGACAAAAAACCTCAACGATGTGTAGCGATAAAAGAAATCGGCGAATGGCTTTCGCTGAAGTGGCAGGCAAGGGGAAAATGTTTGGAGGTGCAGGAAAGAAAGTTGGGGAGGAATAGTGGAATCTGAGGCAAATGTGCTAGTACTCTGACTTTTAGAGAAGACGAGTTTAGGACTCTGTTGGAGTCAGAAATAGGACAGGATTGAAAAAGGGAATTCTGACGGACTGCTTTTGTTGGGTTCCGACATGTGCAGTGGACAACTGATCAGTCTTGCGACTGACGAACCTATCCTCAGCTTCGTCGATTATGGCGGTGAAGGAACCACGGTAGGAACGTGGTCCAAACGAGGTGGAGGGGAGGGGTCGTAATGCCAGAGTTTATATATTCGGTTTTATCTTCTAACAGCATAAAGACGCATAATTAAACCACCTCAGTGATGAAGGGGTTGACGAAAATGAGGTCATTCCATCCTTTAAGACAACCGTGAGATATTCAACAAAAGTAATGATATCGTTAAAAATGCATCAGTTCTAGAGAGATGAGCCGAAGAGCTGTTGCATATTATCAATATCTGAAGCCAAAACAAAGGGTGAGAGGAAGATGAGTGGAAGTTATTCGAATGGGAACAGTAGTCAGAAGATACAACGAGAGCATAGAAGTCAGCTGAATATGACGAAGCCTAGGTTTTGCAGTGATTATCAGTCGCGGCCCGGAATTCGGGTAGGGAAATAAACAGTTTAGGAAAGACAGTTAATTTGCTGCTCTAAGATTTGAGCACCTTGTTCCTGATTGTTTTCCATAGGGACATAAGGGTGTCTGTAACAAGTCCTAGCCCTTCCTGTTTCTTTTCACTCTTCACTAGGTATTGTTTCTCACGGCAGTATGGCAAGCTAATCTGGTGTATCGCTTTCGATGGTGATGATGATTCACATCTGCTGATACGCTGTTTGGAACAGGGATAACTGTAGGTCGAACCAGTGATTGGCAAGACGCAGCTGCACTCCGACTTGTCAGAATATCAATCGACCAGGTACAGACATTGTAGCTCAGTGCAGCTTGTGCTTGCATACAGCAAGGTGGTCTGTCATCAGTTTGTCCCATCAATTGATGGTCCAAGCTACCGTACGTTATGATATGGGCGAATGGACGGCAAAACGGACCAAGGCCGGGGATAGGGGAATGCGCCGCAGCCCGCAGTTCCATACGGGTGACTGAGTCATTTCTATCGAATGAATCTTACCAAGAGGTCACGTGACCCGCCAGTGAGAGACAGCAGAACCAAAGAGGATGACGGCGAGGAATTCGAGGCAAGGGTGAAAAAATAGCGTCCGATTTTATCGTACACAAGATCCATTCGAGGACCGGGGGAGAAGACTGAAAAGAAGCAAGGGATCGGTTAAGGTTAAACAGTAAACTACTCAAATCAGTGAGCATCTCACAACAACATTATGTTTACAAAACGAATGTCAGATAGAGTATTTATTTTTTTAAATATAAAACGTATTCACGCAAACACCTGAAGCTAGCAACCCTGACAGTATGCCTCGAGAAGACGGACACTGAATGACGATTAGAAGCAGGAAGTTTGAGGCTGCTTTGGGTAAAGATTAACTAAACAACGTATATTTTCATGGAGGTCCAGACAAACAAGGTGATAGAAAGTGGTGTCGCCCCGACAAAGACTCACCAACACTGCGTGGCTCTGAGGCTCGAACTACAAACCAACTGAGATTCACTATCCGACATTCCAGTGTGAACTTCAAAACCAGCATGAACAGACAACTAGTGAAAGGAAGAAGGCCTTCGCTGCGAA